TTCAGGATTACACACACACACACACACATGCTCACTCACATGTAAACTACTGCATGCTGCGTTGATTACATGTTGGCCTATTTTACGCCTCGGTGTGCAGTGACCATATTTCAACATCTCTCACGTGCAACTCAAGACACACGCATCAGTGGGTGATGCCCTTATAGTGGCATTCTGCAAATCAAGGGTGCCACGTGCAGCTCACACACACATGCGCTGAAATTCAAAACACTCGCTTCTCCGCTCGGTACCCTTCAGGCAAACCACTGCTAAAATTAAACCCCTGCGATCTAAAAATACCAGTTGGGCGCGTGAGCCAAAGACGAGATGGGGTAGACAACAAACAGAGGGGAGAGACGGGGAAGGGTTGTGTTGGGGGGGGGGGGAGGACAGGAGGAAATGGGATTTGTTTGCCAGTTTTTTAATCAGCTTTAAATTACAGAGAAGATGCAGTAAATATAATGCCAATAACCTTCCACCAGCCACCGACAAACAATCTGACTGCAGGGATTTTACTCTGAAAGGACCATCTGTTTAGATATTACTTGTCACGAGTCATGAAGATCCACAAAGGTTAATCTCTCAGCAGAGATTATAGGAAACCTTCAGAGGAGCTGAATGTGTTTGGTAGTGAATGGCGTTGTTTTTGAATGAGAGCGCTCCTTCGCAGCGCTGCTGACTAACTGAATGGACACCAGCAGCATCGCAGCTGATGTGAATGGCGACTGAGTGATCCTTTCCGTGGCTCAGCAGCTCCCCCCTCTGGTCACAGCGTAACCGCAACAAGCAGGTTTTAAGTATGTAGTGTGCTCCCACTGGAAAGGCTACAAACTTATATTGAAAACTGTCAGTATGCATACTAAAATAAACCTCTCTGTGGTCCAAACATGTGATCATTCTGCTCTCTTTTCCCCTCCTCAGGCAGACTGCGAGAGCAACGGGGGGATCCTTAAGAAGCTTCCATCCATCAAGGAGGTGGAGGAGGGATCGGGGTCCGAGGGGGAGCACTCCCCCCTCCCCAAGATGCCTCCTCTGGGCAGGCTGGGCCGAGGCCTGCGCTCCCCCCTGCGCTCCCCTCTCCGCTCGCCGCTGCTGCCGCCGCGAGCCTTCAGAGTGGCGAGCGATCACGCCCGGCCTGCCAGCCTTCAGATCCCCGTGGTGAGCTTCAGCTGCCTGCAGCCAGACCTCAGCCCCCGGTGAGGAAGCGTTCATTGATTGGGTAAAGTCGTTAACTTGTTCATTCAGGGGCAGTGAGCCGCTCTTTATGACTTATGACATTATTCATAAACGCAAACATGCATGGAGTTCCTCGAGAGGTGGCACCAGACGCTGGTGTGCGACGAAAGCTTCTGTCAGGAAAAAGCAATACAATTGAACATTAAAATTGCAATATTTCATCAAAAACACTTTATTTTTCTTGCTGTCCAGTGTGAAATACATCAACTCACTCCTCCTGTTCGTCCTCAGGTTTGTGGATGGGATCGAGACTGAAAACCAAAGTGGTTCAGCACAGAAGTTTGATTTTTCTCCCAGTACAACTCCCAGTTTCCTCCCCAGCCGTGATTCAGCTGCTTCAGGTTAACACACACACATGTGTGAATGAATCACTAATCTATTCTCTATCCAGTTCGTACTTGCATGTGGATTAAATGTCTTTATGTGTCCGTCCACAGGGGCCCTTGATGAGGATGACACGATGCAGACTATCGCTAAGCTAAAACACGAGGTAATGCTCATCATACTGCGGTAGCACAGAGAACATCTGCAATATTGTATATTTGTGAGTTAACTTGCAAGTTGCTGTAGTTAAACTGGTGTTAGAGTTTGACCCTATAGCAGTCCCCTCCCCCCCACTCTTTCAAGAAGTAAATCCACATTTGAAGCTTCTAAAACCAGCTTTCCTGACTCTCGTCTCTCCAGATGAGCGTCCTCTCCCGTCAGGTGACCGCCGTCAGTCAGGAGCTGCAGGAAATGACGAGTCTTCTCAAGCCCCTCTTCCACAACCCCTCGGTGCTGCTGATACCCGGCGCCGTGACTCCGCCTCCCAGCGTGTCATCGCACAGCTGCTCCCCGGCCCCGCCCCTTCTCACCCAACGTGCCCCTGTGGACTGTTCGGACGATCGATGCGTCCTGGTGCCTGAACCGGAGGCGTCGCGGGGAGAGTTTGATACACTTCGGCGTCCATCCTCCCGCACCATCATCTCCCATCATCCTCCAGTTCCTCATCACACCAGCACCGCTCCTCCAGTCTGTCATCGCTCAGCTCCCCCGTCACTCAACAGCTCTCCCCATGAGCACACAGTTGTGCCACATCCCTCCTCCTCCTCCTGCTCCATCCCCTCTCTTTCTTCATCAAGCCACCCGTCATCCATCACTCCCCCTTTGGTGGACTTATCAGGACCTGATAGTGAGCACCGTCAACCCTGTCTCCACTTCCTGTCCCAGCCTGAGTTCATACCCGGGTCTTGTCCCCTCCTCCCGCCCTCCAGCATGGCCTCACACCCCCGAGAACCCCTCCACCTGCAGGGGGTGGAGTGGGGGGAGCACACCGCCCAGCTCAGCTTCATCAACGAAGGACAGCCCTCGGTGTGAGAAGAGAAGACCGGGACACACGGGACCGACAAACCGGACCGACCAGCATGCCGCACAACTTACTGCATGACAAACATTTGTCCAAAGGTTGGCATGCGAGTTAAAAATGTAAATACATCGATTTCAAACGATGATCGTGAGCACCAACTGTATGCAGATCTGATAATAAAGTAGTTTGTTTTACAGTTTCATTTGGATTTGATTGACAGGATAATAAACTCCTTTTATGGTTAATTATACAAGCATCTACTCAGTTAGCCTTCTGAAAGACTGGACGGTGGGGCAGACTTGCGGTACTCGCCTTTCTCCAGCAGGTACTGGCGGCCCTTGTAGTCGTGGCTTCAAACACCCAACCCGCAAAGTCCCCTTTGACATAGAGCTGGATCTTGTGAGGATCTCCACCGGCCTGGAGGAGGACACAAAGAGGAAACAGAGAGAGAGGAGGAGGGTTTGGAGAGACGTGGTGCAGATATGGATGAGACAGTGAAAGGGTAGGTTTAAACAAAACAAAATCTTTTTAAAGAAGTAGTTCAGTCAGGACGGGAAGGCTTACGAAGTGAATCATCTTGCAGGAGCAGACTCTGTCGCTGAGGCCGATCCAGATCTTGTCGTCGGGGTACTCTCCTCTGGTCAGGACGTACTGGTAGCCCACGTAGTTCGGCCTCTCGTAGACCACCCAGGACCCGCTCTCCACCCACGCTGAGTTACAGCGAAGTGGAAGTGGAAGATGATCTGAAGGAAGGCACATGAGGGAATCTGATGTCAGGAAATATGACATTATTGAGAAAGAGGCTGTGGGATTACGCTGCATAAAGACCGCTGTAAACACACACAGAGATGCACAAATACAAACAGTATGGACCTCTATTTCATGAATATATAAATGTTAAACAAAAACAAATCTAGTTCCTCAAACGGCCACTAGATGTCGATGTTGTTTCCCATGTTATTTTCCAATTAACCCCCTCACTTTAAACATAAATAACAAACACTATTATGGTCCGAAATGAGCAATAACTGCAGAAATAAGTGTGTATTACTTAGAACCTTTAGATAATAAAATACAAATAATTAAGGAATACAAATGATCATGTAACGGTCTATATTTTAGGTTTTAGATGTGAGGCCAGTAGTTACCTGTCATTACCATTGTCACCACAAGAGGGCAGCATTTCACCAGTGAAAAGACAGCGAGCGCTCCTCGTCCTCAGAGGGTTTCTGCTGTTTTCTGCAGCTAGAGGAATAAAAGTGAATATTTTGGGGTTTTAGACTTGAAAAGAAGACATTTGATGACTGAAATAATAATTTCCTCTGCTTATATACAGCAGCGTCCGCCATAACGAACAGGTAATAAGAGCTGGATTGAGCCTTGTGAAAGCACTCTTTAATTGCATTCCATCACACACACACACACACACACACACACACACACTCTTCTTGCTCATGGTGAGCGACTTGTGGTGAGCTGTCAGAGACACTTACGATGATGGAGGACAGACGAGTGTTGGCAGTTTGCACACACACACACACCACAGAGGAGGAGCGACAGGAAGGCAGACAGGCGGAGTAGTAATGATAGGTGACTATTCTTCCATCCAGAATAAATGAAGGAAAGCTGACCGGCAGCCCGGCTATTTGAACAAGCACACGAGTTTTAATGCAGCATTACAATCAGTCTGCGCAGTGACATTAAATCTGTGGTGTTTAGATTTTTAATCCCACCCGACTGAGGAAAAAAGTGAGATTTTAATCATTTGTCTTCGCAGGTAATATCGTCAAATACAATTCCTAAGTCTACCTGTCATTTATGAAACTAAAACAGCTTTAATGATGAAACATTTGACTTTCTTTAAGCGGGTTACATCCCAAAAATATAAATAGACAACGAGTTAGAGTTGGATGCGTGTTTTTGTCCCCTTTCAATCCTTTAACTTGAGTTTTTCTGCACCGGCAGACGATCCGCTCCACTCTGATCATTTATGACTTATTGTAAATGTGTGAATCTCTTCAGCGTGTCTCAGAATGGTGACGTTGTTTCACATGAATCTTTTCTCTCTCTCCTCCTGTTCGCTGCCATCACGACATCTGGGCAAATTAATTCTCCTTTCTAAATCGGTGATCGCATTATTCATTTAGTGCAGGACTTTGAGTAAAGGTAGAGAGACATTAAAGGGTTTTTTAACCACATGCTTCACAACTTCTACTGTGTCAGTCTCTCTTTGGGTTTCCCTCCCTCCCTCCTTCCCTTCCCTCCCTCCCTCCCTCCACATGTGTCACTTTACTGCTCTTTGCTCAGCAGGCAGCAGCAGTGTGCCCTCATCACTCCTCGTCTTCATATCTCCTCGCTGGTTCTGCCGGAGCAGCGTTTTTCTGACACAAAGGGGGGAAAGCGTGACTCTCAGGCTGGATTCTCTCCTTCTCACCAATGGATGGAGTTTATTCCCCAGCCGGCACAGCGACTTCCTGAAAAGTGAGTGAGAACTTGATTGGAAGTACAGATGAAATAGTTCATAAAGAAGGAATATACCTTCTTATGTGCACACATATTTAAATGTGATTTAAACGATTTGGTTTTATTACAGGAACGTTAACTTTAACTCTAACGTTGACCATGAAAACTCTCATTAGTTGACAATAATAAATATTTATAAATACAGAAATGTCTTTTTATGTATATGAATAAATATCTTTTTGATATTTCAGTTAAAGATGAAGTACATAAGTATTTGCATTATTAAATTTTTGGTTCACAGTAAAGCAATACCGTAATAGTCTGTTTGTATTTGATCAAATGTGAGGTAAATAACCTAATAATCTTAAAGGAGTGACTCTCACAGTCTTTTATTGCTTTACAAAGAATAATAACTTGACACACATTCAACTGAATATATGTAATATGATAAGATACATTTAAAAAGGTAAAAGGGAGATTTAAATACGACAATGTATTGTCATAACGTTGGAGTTATAACAATACATTTTTAAAGGTATTCACCATATTAAAATCATAAAGACACGTCTTATTTCTAATACTTAGACTGTCTAAGGTTTGAAAGTTGATAAAAAGGTATTATTAGATAGATTTAATATTGCTTCCAGAGATGCTAATATCCGTAACGTAAATGTTGCTTTTGGGAAGCGAAGACGGTTCAGACTTAACGACAATAAAGTGATTAAACGTGTGTGTCGAATTCCCCAGAATGTCTTTACAATTAGTGTCTATTTGCAGATAAGGAGTCATAAATAATGGACGGGTTATTATTTCATCTCTGTTGAAACAAGTTGTAAACTATCAGCAATCCATCCGTTTAATAATGAATATAACTAATATGATATAGTGTCATGATATTAAGTATTTAAGGGCACACTGTTTGTCTGTTGAAGCCAAACAAACTCTAAAAATCATGATAGTGACAATAAATATTGTTGACTTCAATGTTCTTCTTTTACTGGATACAGGCCGTAAACTCAAAAGTGAATTTATATTTATATTATACTGAACAAAACCTAAACTGAACCAACATATTTTAACCCTCAATAACCACTGCTTTGTGCAGTTTCCTAGTACACAATCTAAACTTCTGTTTACATCCAGTGTTTCCTGTGTTCATCCCAAACTTGTAGGTGTCACCAGACCCCAAAATGATTTCTACTGAACTAAACTGTAGTCCAGTTTAACTCGAGGAGCCCGTGAACTCTCTTCAGGGCTCCTGGGAGAATCCACAGTTCATTTAATATCTAAAATGCCGTTAAAGGCCCCTTGAAGCCTGTAAATTAGACCCTGATGAATCTGCTGCAGGAGGCTTTTCTGTGATTTGTCAGTCGGAGTCTACTGAGTGTGACTGTACATTTGGCCTCCATGTGTGCTAGTAAAGTCTGTGGTCTCCTGAAGTGCTCTCATGTGTGTGAACGAGTGTGTGAAAGAAGTAACAAGGCCCCAGCCCTTCTTTTTGTTTTACTGCATTAATGATGTAAAAGTATATTAGCCCACTAAAGTTATTTACATGAAAATGCACATATATGAAGTCATAATGAAGAAAAACAACAGAATGAGGAATAAAAGCCAATAATAAGGAGACAAGGAGGAAATATGTTTGTTAAAAGCAGAAGCACAAACTGCAGGAGAGAGAAAGCAGCGTATGTTCGCGCTCTCATCTCTCATTCAAATGTGTGATGGAGCCTGGTCCTGCACTCTTAAATTACATTTAAAGAGTTTAATCGTCATTGTGTCCTCGTTCGGTGTGTGTTGAATGACTGAGACGGATGAAAAAGCACTTTTTAGGGGGAAACATATTTCTTTTTGGGGGGGGGGGTTTCTGACATTATTTTGTTTTTGGTGGCCTGGAAACTGCTCCGCGATCGTGAAGTCAGTTTTATGATAAAGGATTAATAGGAAAATTAGCAAAGGCAGTGTGGGAGGGACAGCTGCGTCCAGAGGGACCGAGATCAGCAGTGACATGGTGGTCCTTTAGGAACAAAACTGCTTTTTAATCATATATTATAGAAAAACAATTGTTGTCAGTTATTGTGCAAAACAATTCCAGTGTTGGTGTTGGCCTTCGATAGCTTTTGTTCTTCTCCTACGTTGTTTATCTGATGGCCGGTGTGTTAAAGAAGTTGGTGGAAGAGGAAGTGCGAGCTAGCAGCTTCCCCTTGCTCCCAGTGTTTGTGCTACGCTCGGCTAATCACGTCCCAATCCCCCTGTGCAGGTGAGACGAACGCGGATGAATCGATGTGTCTACTCGTCAGTTTTTGTCTGGAAAGTTATATCAAACACATATAAACTATTTGATTTGAACAAATCAATGAAATACATTATTTAATCATGCAATGCCTCAGTTAGAGTGTTCATTCTCTCTCAGCTTGTGATGGACGGGCTATTTTCAGCAGCTAATAATTGGCCATGTGTGTTTTATTATAGTCAGGTGTCGCTGCTGGCTTTACGGTCATACCGGTGGAAACCACACAGCGGAGAGGGCACACGGCTCTCCCAAAGATACCGTGCAGAGTGTATTCAGCCATGCATGATATGATATATATATATATATATATGCTTTGAGGCTGTTTAATGTTTTTTTAAATGGAGTTCTCTGACAGTAAAAGAAACCTTTTTATAGTCCTGAAACCACATGGAGCTGAGATGTAAACATCACTTTTTACATGTTTAAATGCCGATACTTTGGACATAAATGAGCCTCAGCAGATTACAGTATAGGAGTCCTGTGGGTAAGATGAGAAACTGAAATATTCATATTTGACAATATCATCTTTTAGAGGACTAGTTTGACAGCTTGGGAAACATACTTATGTTCTTATGTAGGAAGGTTCACTCTCCTATTATACCGCTTTGTCGAATACTTGATTCTGAAGCGATAAAATCATTTTAAAAGCAATATTTTGCGTCAGATTATTGCTTTCTGTCGTAAGTAGCCGTGTAATAAGCGTGACAAAGTGCAGCGAGCCGGTTATTATTAGGAAATAAAGCCCTTGAAGACCCTCATCTCTCTGCATAAACACTGGAGGCCGACTTCCTGTCGTCTCTGCTGACTCGTCACACCGTCATGTCAACTTGCACAGTAAAGTTGTACAACAGTACAACACGTTACAGTCGGTGTTCATACAACTTCTATTATTAAAAAAAGACTTTTGTTTGTTAACATTTCCAGCGTAATTCTATGTTTTCCTTGGTTGTATTTCTACAGAGTGCATTGTCTGTCATTATAACGTGTGTCGTTTACTCCGATGTGTCCAAACAGAGAATAATGAACTCGTCTGTATTTAGTCTGACTGACCTGTGATCGGTCCCAGATGCCTCTGACTCTCGTGTCTGTTGTGGTCGTCGCTGCCTCTCTTGTATGTGAACAACAAAGAAATGAACAAAGCGACCGGTTGTTGATGAAACCGCCTCTAATGGCTCCTCACTGTCAACACTGGCTGAGTGTGAAATATGATATATATTATATATACAGTGTGAAGGTGCATTTGAACTTGTTTCAGTTGTTTCCTTTGCTTGATGTCTCCTCCCAGCTTCCCACTCTGTACTGGGGGCTCCTGCTGGAGTTTTCGGGGTGATGGAGCAGCGCGGGGGAACGGAGAGCCCCGGCCTTCGGGACAGCGCCAGCCCGGAGGAGAGAGGGGAAAGCCCGCCGTGCAAGTCGAGCCGCCTGGAGGTCAACGGCAGCCCGGCGGCTCCGCGGATCAGACAGAACGGCACGCCGCTGAGGCCGCTGGGAGGTGAGGCCGTCACACAAACTTTTTCGTAAAACCACAACGTCATCTTGCATAGTAAAGTATAACTGTAGGCGTGTTAAGAACCTAAATAAGTTCCACTTAACCACACAAGATGTGACATGAATTTAAAGTAGTATCAAGACTTTTGTGGAGGATGTCGGTGTCTCCGGTCCGTGGGTGGGTCGTCCTTATTCACCGGTATTGCAGAGCTGCATGTAAACTTTAAAATACCTAACACAGAAAACACTCACGCACAAATGCCCATTATTCTCTCATGCAGTTGAGAACATCATCATGCATCATCACACAAACATTGTAACAGGACACACACACATATTCGGCTGCCTCCCTCCACCCTTCCCCTGAGCGGTTGTCTTATTGGCCGATAGCATGCCTGACGCTGCTGCGGTTTGGCTCTGTCGCCGCCTCGTCAGGAGGAGGATTGATCGCCCGTTAATTAGCCGGTCCTGTGGGACGGAGCGGTGGACTTGGATGGGTGTGAACGGATCCAAGAGGAGCTCTCGGGACTCGCCCAATAACGAGTCAGCGTTCATGGCATCGCTCCTGAGCTCTGAGTGACACAGATATCATGTCCGGCGCTTTAAGAAGCAAGTCTTATTCGTTGTGGGTTTCTACAAATACAGTTGTACAATCTTACACCGATTGCCCAGTTTAGTCTTCCCCTGAGACCACCACGCAGCACCGACGCTGACACACTGCCAACTGACAAACAGGAAGCTTCAAAATCCTCCAAAAACGTTCCTCGCTGCCCGATTTGTGCCTTGAAATGTAATTTTCTAAAAGAAGCTCCAGGCTACTACTTTGACAGTCTGAACCAACCTTTTAGACTGATGCTGCTGCTATCATAAACAGCTGTAAGTGCATTTATCTGGAGGCTATCTGGAGGCACCCAGACATGCTTGACCTGTCTTTTACGGAAACTTTAAGCAACTTCCACTTCCTGGAAAGAGGACAGACGACACAAACACACACGGTAGCTTCTCCTGTAACTCTCTTGTCTCTGTCCGTCTGCCAGGTTTGATGATCCCGGTCTACTGCGTGGTGGAGCATGCAGCAAACGGGGGCGTAGCCGGCGACTGCGAGGGGCACGGCGACCGCCACGCTGAGTTTGTGCTGGTTCATAAAGACGTCCTCTTCACGCAGCTGGTGGAGACGGCACTGGCCGCTCTGGGATACTCACACAGCTCAGCTGTACAGGCAAGTGGTAAGTAGAGTCTGTGTCCAAGTGATTACTAAAGATAGGAGACTATGCAACAACAGTTGTACATTATTGGGAGACATAGAGTGCAAAAAGAATCCCTTTGACCTGCTGAAACCTGATGTTTTTAGCTGCTACAGGCATTTTGTTAGCGTTTCAGCCCCTGGTTGCATATTGTGGATGAGGGAAACATCTCATGTTTCAGTCTTTCTTATAATATTGATGAGAAATTAATTATTTCCAGCAGTGGTTTAACAGAGCACGACTGGTTTCCAGATGGGTGGGGTTTCGCCACATGGGCACAGAGAAGGTATTTACCAAGAAGGTATTTTAAAGATAAACCCGACTGCAGATCAGATGTGAGTCAGTTCACCCGCCTGGCAGCACGGAAGTTCAACCAAAACTTTTTCTCATCATTTTGAGATCAAAACAAGAAGGCAGACAACATCCAGTCGACTGAGAAACAACAGCCTCCACACACACACACACACACACACAAACACACACACACACACACACACACACAGAGAGCATGGCAGTTTGACATTCCTGGTGTGTCCCGTAAACACAGGGCGCTCTAACCAAGTGGCCGACGCCCTGCGACCCCCGCCTCTCCCAAATGGCTAGGTTTTGTTCTGAGAAATAAGCCTTTTCTTTTCAAATAAATAATTTTTGGCTGGAGTCGTGCATTTTTTCCCCCAGTGTGGTCACAACCAAAATTATACAGAGTCTCTTCTATTTTCTTCTGCCATTGAATTGCATCTTGCATATCTTTGGCTGGACTAGTATTTTTAAACTGGCAGGGGGGGGGGGGCAAGTTTTAATTAACTTGCACATTATGCCGAATTAAAAAGAAGTTATTTCTTATTTAGGGTACATGGTTACTGCTCTGGATTTAACATGAGCTTAGGTGAATTGCTGAATTAAATATAACTGAAGTTCGTGTTTCGGGACGCATTCACTGATATTACTCACTTAGAAATAAACATTTACCGTATTTGAGGGCTTGCAAACCGCCAGAGTTTCCCAGAAACAACCCAAACTTTATTTTAAGAACCATACAGCACAATATCTCTCCACCGAATTATTTTTAACATACGCTAAAATATTCACTTGCACTGACAACATAACTTCATTTCACACTTTGGGCCAGGAAGAGTTTACAATGTGAAAGTAAGGTCTGTGATTCATATCAGCGACCTGTTGATGACATGTTGAAGTATTCAAAATCATTACTAAAGCAAAGTCAGCTGCAGGACACAGAAGAACTGCCAGATATGAGGATAGAACACGGTGCAGTGAGACAGGAGAGCAGTGACCTCACTGTTTATTCAGAGCATCAACAGCTCAGTCTTTAATGCCGAGCTGATTTTACATTTCTCCTCTGATTAATCAACTGGGGAGTCCCAAGAGAACAGCCTTTGTTCTTTTGCCCCTATCACCACCATCCTCATGCAATGAAGACGCACACACACACACACACACACACACACATGAAGGAGGCTGGCAGGCCAGGCAGGGTCTGTGTTTGATTTAGCCGATCCTAACGCGATTAGGCCTGTTTAGATTTGCGCTTCCAGTCACGGTTGTTGGAAGGTTTGGGGAATGTTCAACCCAGGATGATGCTCCAAGACTGGGATGGTCGTCTGTTAAACTCCCCAACACACACACACACACACACACACACAAGCAGATTAGGTCTACATCAATAAGAGAACATGAAAACTAGATTTTCTGACATTTAAATATTTTATTAAACAGACGCATGCTTTAGTTTTATGTGTATGTGTGTGTTTGTTTGTGTTCTCCAGGCATCATTAAAGTGGGCCAGTGGAAGCCGATGCCCATCCACTACCTAACAGACGCTCCAGAGGCAACCGTGGCTGACATGCTGCTGGAGGTCTACCACATGGTCACACTGCGGATCCTACTGCACAGGTTTAAATGATTATTATTTAGCTTTTAAAGAAAGAAGAGCAGCAAACAATGACGAAAAGCTCCGAGCGGGGACAAAAGAGTTAATAGCCTTTAACTTAAAGCCGACTGTTGGTGGATTTGACAGCCTCTGCTTTAAGTGAATGAGTTTGTACAATAACAAAGCGTCTCACGTGTGCAGCTTTGCGCGGCTGGAGGAGCTGCCGTCAGAGCAGTGGACCCACGCCACGGTGAGGAACGCCCTCAAAGAGCTGCTCCGAGAGACCAACCAGAGCGCGCTGGCCAAGGAGTGTCCCCTCTCCCAGGTATGTGCTCACCTCAGCTACACCGAATACAGTCTCCACAGAATCAGACGGTAGATCACCTCTTTTCCATTAGATATCAATGTCAATCTGGGTTCGATTGTGTTTCTGTCACACACACGGATAGCCGAGATGCTGCTAAGTATTTTCTCTAAACACATGTGGTTTCATCATCAGTTCACCACACAGAGCACTGTGTAATCTCTCTCTAACACACACACACACACACACACACACACACACACACACACACACACAAGTATTGATACCGTCCCATGGGAAAGGATGCAAACACGCACACCTCAATTATCCTCCTCACACACACCCTGCAGTCATTAGACTTGAGAGTGTGTCATTTTCAACTTGTGATTTATACGCAGGACTTAGTCATGATGTAATTAGTGATTAGGAGAAGTGTGTGGGTGGTGTGTGTGTGTGTGTGTTTACAGCCTGACTCATGTGAGTTTTAATCCTCAGTGCTTCCCATGTTGAGCTTCCACTGCTCGTGTAGAAGTGACCACAGTGCATGCTGGGAAAGGGGAGCTTGTCATGCAAAGAGCAAGAATCAATAATAAACTGATTACGAGTGTCGCAGGTTTTGTATTTTAGCTGCGACATGTTTATTGTATATGTTCCTGTGTTTCTGTCAGAGTATGATCTCAGCGATAGTCAACAGTTCCTACTACATCAACGTCTCCACCTCTAAGTGCCAGGAGTTTGGACGCTGGTACAAGAGGTACAAACGCATCAAAGGTAACTCCAAAGGTGTGAAGCAGCTGAGCGCACACAAAGAAAATCAGTCATTTTGGCCTTAAATCAAGTCTGATATTAATCTTTCTGGCATGAAGTGAAAAGATGAATGAACAGCTGAATAGAAATTTGTATTATAACTTTTACGTGTGCACGTAATCGCAGTCTGTCGCAGGTGTCGCTTCACTTGGGTGGAGGCTTTGTGCTGCTCAGTAACTCCCCCGTTCAGTGCCGGCCCGTCCGTGAGCAGTTCATTGTCACGCGTTTCCTTGTTAAACTCTCCCACGTTGTTAAAAACTTCTCCCGTTTTAGCGAGCAACTCTTTAGTGCACCTCAACCATCAACTCTTCAGCTGTTTATACTTTATTGGCCTCACGTTGCTTTGAGAAGTGGAGACTGTCGGAGCTCTTTTTCAAGCTGACACTCACTGCTTATCACGACTCCACTCAACGTGACTCACCTGCCTGGCCGCCTTTTGTTTTTCTGATTTAGTTGCTTTTGATGTTTTTTCGGGAAGTTTTTCCCCATTCATCTGTCCACCCCCTGTGTGTGTGTGTCAGCCTGCATGTGTCTAATCTGCTGCATGAGACGTCTGTCACTGACAGCTCTCAGTAGGACCGAACTGTCACACATGGTTTGCATTAATGTCACCCTTAATACACATGACAAAACTAAATGCTCTTAACTCCTAATGGAAAACAGCAGCAGCCCCCCCCCCCCCCCCCCCCCAACACACACACACACGCCAGCAAAAGCCAGGAACAAGAGCTCCTCTTACACTCGCTCTACACACACGCACTGGGAAGGTAAAAATCTGAAGGCCTGCCAAACCTCACTCCAACTTTTATTCCCCTAATAACCTAAAATGCGACTCTCAACTGAACCCGGCAGACGCGTAACAAGAAGCAGATTTGTGTGGAGACGAGCAGAGTGGCCGCTCGGAAAGCAGAAAAGTTCAATGCGGTGATGAAGAGGACACACTTATTTGATCTTAATAGTGGAGACAGTAAAAGGGACAATAGGACTTTGTGGTAATGAGATCATCCTCTGAATCATTCGACCAGCAGTCCTACTTTTTCTACACATAAGGGACCCCCAGACCCCTGCTTCCCCTTCTCAAAACGCCTGATTTAGGCTGTAGCCGCATGCAGGAATGTTATTGTGTTCGAACAATTGGTAGATGTTTGAGTGTGTAACTAAATATACTTACACCTTTGATATCCCCCCCCCCCCAGGTGAATACATTGAGAACATGTGGTCAGCTCAGGATAAATCAGATATTAAAGGTACGTTCATCTTTTATGGATACTGACATAATGACATAATGCACCTTGTGAGGACTTCAGTGACCAAATGAAAGGACTAGAACTTAGACTGCAGCTGGATTAAAAGGTGAAAGGCCCGATCTGCTGCTTTCATATTAGTAACACAAACCTGTGTGTGTGTGTGTGTGTGTGTGTGTGTGTGTGTGTGTGTGTGGTGACACAGTGGAGAGGGATTTGGACCTGAGCATCCTCAGCCAGCGACCTCCCTTACTCTTACCCTCCCCCACCCATTTGGGCTCCCTGGGCGGCCCCGGAGCTCTGTCCATCAAGAGTGGCCTCGGGGACACCCAGCCTCAACGTCTGCCTCACCCCGCCAGCCAGCACCACCCGGGTGCACCGCTGCGTCCTCTCCTGGGCCACGGCGGGCTCCTGCACCCCCAGCTCTCCCCTCAGCTCGTCCGTCAGCAGCTCGCCATGGCCCACCTCATCAACCAGCAGCTAGCCGTTAGCCGCTTGCTCGCACACCAGCACCCACAGGGAGTCAACCAGCAGTTCCTCCACCACCCTCCCATCCCGCGCACCTGCAAGGGCTCCGGGGCCACCACCGAGCCCGGCCTCAACTGCTCGGGGCCCGAAGTCTCCTTCAGCATTTACCAGCATGTCAGGAACGAACTGAAGAGGGCCAGCATTTCTCAGGCGGTGTTTGCCCGCGTGGCTTTTAACCGCACACAGGTAAACTGAAACACACGACCTTACTGTTACCAGAGAGGATGCACTTACGTTAACGCTCACTCCTGTGTGTGTGTGTGTGTGTGTGTGTGTGTGTGTGTGTGTGTGTGTGT